ACAAAATGTAATGGCAGAGTACAGTGAAGTAAAAAAAAAGAAAAGAAAAGAGAGAGATTATGTCCACATAAAATAATCCCCCAAATAGCTGTCAACATTAAACTAAAAATATTTGAAGTTACAGTCTCAACATTACCATTTCGTTCTCTTTGGGGACACCTATGGCAAGTGGTGGTAACTGCAGTATGTTTGTTGGCAGACTTGAAACCAGGCTGGTGAATTTATTTATGTCAGCTTGTTTTATGAGTTGGCAAGGTGAAAGGGTTACCACAGCATAAATGGTGTGTGTGTGTGTGTGTGTGTGTGTGTGTGTGTGTGTGTTCACCATGCTGTTTTCTGTCCCTTTGAATGAAAATGCTTTAAGTGACTGGATGCTGGATGTTATCCTATACACAGCTAGCAGTTTACACTATGATATGTAGTCCCATTTAGAGCATTGGTTATCTGGATTTGGCAAACTTGAAAAGTTTGTATCTGGATTATTCTGATTCAGTCCAATGTTGCTCTGAAAAACTGCCACAAAAGATGGATAAGCTGATCCTGGAAAGCAAAACATGGGATATCCAAATCAGTACGAGTCTGATCCAGATTAATCTTTTGAACAAGTGGGCGGGCAGCATGACTTTCATCAACTTTAATCCCCTGCCTTTTCCTCTAGTGCCACCACAAAGTTAGTGTTTGTAGTTTTTATTGAAATGTCTCAATTACTACAGTATAGATTGCCAAGACATTTGGCTCTGACATATATGTAGCAGAATGAATTTTAATAACATTGCCAAACTGCTAAATTTTTCATCTAGTAAAAATCTGGACAGCTTTGGTTTATGACTAATCATCTGCAGATCTGATGACATTTCCATCAGCCTCAGCTTTAGTATTTGTTTATTGCTTATTAGCAAATGTTAGCATGCCAACAAGATTGTGAGATTGTGAACCTGGTAAACATTATAGCTGCTCAACATCAGCCTGTTAGCTTGTATCTTAGCATGCTGATGCTAGTATGTGTCTGGACTACTGGGGCCCTATCTTACACTGCACACAGCGCAGCGCAAATAGTATTGCTAGTTTTTGACGGACGCAGTTTCCCAGCCAGTGCCCATGAGTGTAAGTATGTCCCTGTGTCCATCCATGTCTGCATGGGCGTGTAGGTCTTAAAATGGGATGTGGTCAGAGGCATTGTTTGAGGCAGCAAGAAGTGATTGCGATACTAACCAACAACAACCTGGTCTAAAGTCAGAATGGCGCAGTATTTGCCTGCTATTTAAAGGGCACAATATTCAGATAGTAAGATGCACCTACATGGGTATTTTCACAACATGTGTACACTCTGTTTGTTACACACACACAGGGATGCCAGGATGCAGGTAGGTGAAATAATCTTATTATATAATGAATCCATGTGAAATTTGGCACAGTGGTAGAGGGTCATGGGAGGATGCAAATGAAGCAATATTACATCAATTGGCCAAAGGGGGACGCTATAGCAACCGACTGAAATTGCAAACTTTGAATGGGCATATCTCATGCCCCGTATGTCGTAGAGACATGAAACTTTGCACAGAGATGCCTCTCCTCATGAGGAACACATTTGCCTCAAGAACCCATAACTTCCAGTTATATAGATTTTCCGCCATTTTGAATTCTTTGAAAAACACTTAAAATTGATCTCTTCCTAGGAAGTTTGACCGATCAGCATGAAACTCAGTGAACATAATCTAGGGACCAATATCTAAAGTTTCCTCTTGGCAAAAGTTGGAAAACTTACTAAAACTGAGCTTCTATAAGGCAATGAATATTGCGGAGGGCGTGGCTCATCACATAAAGGTGTATAACATCTCAAGGGTTTCACCGATCACCACGCAACTTTGTAGGCATATGACCACACATAATCTGAGGGGACACCTCCATTATTGACCCCATCAAACAAAATGGGGGCGCTAGAGAGCTAATTTCTTATCTAGGCCTAACCACCATATCAATTTTTACTAAACTTGGTAGATATGTAGAACAGGACGCCTCAAGGTGACTGGAGAAATTTAACACTAATTGGCAACTGGGTGGTGCTATAACGACAGAAAAATGCTTAAAAATGGCTGAAATGCGACTGATCGCTGTGGCTCCCCCTGTGGACGAATGTTTTTTTTAAACACTTTAACTATTTGCCTTTCAACGTGCTACCTCAACTACTAATGTACAGTTTTAACCCACTAACTATACCACTATTGGCAATGGTACTAATGTAATTACAATAAAGCAATAATACTATCAAATTAACAAAAACTCTGTCTGAATACATTGCTCTTCTTAATGGGTTCAGTTGACTATTTAATCTGCAGATTCCTATGACCTGTATCCCAAACACACACCATGTGAAACTGTACATGGGCAACTGTGCATTCAGTGGGTATGGACTAGTACGTCATTGATAAGGAAAATATTAATTACATTCTCTAAAATGTGAACATAGCAGAGAGCAGAGCAGAGCTGCAGATCTGCTGTCCTCATGTTACACTCAAATTACACCTTCAATTAATGAAGGAACTTAATACAACCCCTTTGCTCCTTGCACCTTACTTTGTGAGTTGGATACACCCTTACTGCACCTGCGCATTCACTTTAGACCATAAGCCACAGATAATTTAATTTTGCTCAGTCTTAGCCTTACTTACAAATCTTTATCTTAAAACATTATGTAAATATATTGTTGTGGTTTCAACTTTTCAAACATTTTGCACTAGCAAAGTTCCAAGTAGGACCAAAATGTCTTGAATAATTTTTTGTGTCATAGAGTAAGTGTGCAGGCGTTACTTCTCTTCTTTCTACTGCCAACCTTATGTCAGAATATATGTTGGCAATGTATGTTTCTGCAAATCACATTACTTTTGTACATTATTATGTAGATATGTTGAAACCTAATGTTTCAACAGCACTGGAGTTAAGGTGTGGTTAGGATTAGGCACAATTAAAAACACTTGGTTGTGGTTAGAAAAAGAGCACGTTTTGGCTTAAAATACCCAGTTTTGGTGGCATAATTGTGTCAGGAAACACAGCGATATCTCTGCAGAGAACAACCACTTTTCTTGACACTATCCCCGGTGGAAACACGGTGACGGGCTGCTAAAAAACATTTGTGTTTGTTGGCTAAACAGCAGCTGAAAACACAGCAATTACACATTCAAAACAACTGGTTTGGCTGCTTGTTGGTCTTGAATAGTGGCTTGCAGCTTGGTAGGTGTCTTGCCTTGGTGACACTCCCTCCACTGACCAACCACAAAGTCAGTTCATATACCACGTCACTTTAGAAATGTTGATATGATATGTATGAAACATACAAATGTAACATATTTGTGGTTTGCAGAAACATAAAGGAAACAATGCAAACATTTTCTTCTGGTGACTGGGCTGGTACTGCATTACATTTATCTGACAGGTGTGGGTACTAGTTACTTTCCGGATTAGCTTTACATACAAACCATACGACCAGTTGTATTGTTATGGATGAATCTACAACCAGTATATAAAGTATCAACTTCACCTCCAACAGGTATAAGCTAACATGAAAATGCTACTTTAATATACATCAATAATAATAATAATAATCCAATAATATTACTATACTATAGGCCTATATTAATATGACACTGACAGTAGGGGTGGGAATCACCAGAAGCTCCACGATACGATATTATCACGATATTAAAGTCACGATACAATATTATTGTGATTTTAAACATGTTGTGATATGCTGAGTATTGTGATAAAATATATTGCGATATATTGCAATTATTACCTGTTTTGAGCTTGGTCTCACTCCAAAGTCATCGCAATCTGGCACTTGGGCAGTGACTTGTGGCATCAGAAACCAACAAAAAAAGGCATCCTTAACATCGTCATGATATGCAGCCGATAGCCATTGCAGTTTAACTGCGCCCAGCGGCGATAGGGGGAACACAGCGGGACAAGGATGAAAGTTCAGGTGGATGGGCGCAATTTTCACGTCCTCTAAGATTCTAAAGCCAAACTCTGTTTTTGTCCCTGAGCCTAACCACGTGCTTTTGTTGTTGCAGGGGAAAAAAACGTCAATTCGCGGTGTTGTACGGACATAAATTTCCTGTGAAAATGGAAGTGTATCTTGAAAGAAGAGAACTCGACATGGTGTCCCATAACGTCAACAACCAACACACCCAGGGTACCTCGCGCGTCATATGTGGACGTGGAAAAGTCCATGACCACAATGTCAATATGTGACGAGGTTGGATTGAGAATGTGTTGTTTTTCAACTGTCAAAGGAAAACTTCTTGATGTGTTTATCTCATGTCAGTCTTTTTTTTTTTTGCAGCAAAATGTATGTAGTGAACTGAAAAAGCAATTGATTACATTATTCAAGTAGGAAAACTAAAGTTTATGTTGTATTTATACTATTAATCATCCATATAAAAAAATATTGATAGTTGGCACTGGGAGGCGATACGACATTGCCACACAAAAATATCGCGATTCTATGCTGCATTGATTTTCCCCCCTCCCCTAACTGTCAGGGGTTATTCTTATCACAGCTTAGCATCTTTGCATTCACTAATTACAGTATAGCAGCGATACAACAGGACTGTAGTATTTTGAGTTCAGGAAGGACTCCATCCACTCTCTCCATCTCACACAGTGACACACATCTTCCCACACTGAGCTCCCTGAGTCAAACAAGGGCGCATCATCTCGTGCGTGTCTCTGTGAGAGGTCCTTCACATCCAAACGCTCATTGTTGATAAAAACGTGAGGGAATATTTGTTGGTGTAATTTCCAATTCAAGGTGAACACGAGCGGAGACGCGCTTTGATGCAAATTTCCCCCTGATACTGCTGCTGCTGCTGCTGCGCCCGCGCACGAGAGCGCGCCCCATCGCTGTCATCAGTACAACATCAGCATCTTCCGGGGGGCGCGCAGAGAAACGGGAGGAGGAGGACAGGGAGAGAGAGAGAGAGAGAGAGAGAGAGAGAGAGAGAGGAGACATACTGGATAAAGGCTACGACAAAAACCATGATGATAATGGAGTCGAGGCGGTGGAGGATGTCGGATTTACGAGAAAGGACTGTTGAAATTTGACAGAGGGCTCGTGTTGAAAACCCGTTCTCGGTTTATTTTTTTCTTTCATTCTGTTTGATTTCCACATGCTGCGTGGACACTGAAGGCGAGCAGAGGAAAGGGGAGCACCCCACGGATGCCTCGGAAGGTAAAAACGGGGTCCACCGCTGGCGCTTACAGGCAACAAGACGCATCTCATCTCACGGATGGTAATAAAGGACATCCTGAAGATAGCTCTGGACTGATGGATGAGGATGAAACACAGCTTTAACCCCCCCTCCACCCGACCACTGTGAAATAAAGAAAATCCTGTTTTGATGGATTTTTTAAATCATTCATGGTGTAGCCCCAAGGAAACGAGCCTTAGACAGCAATGTTGAATCACTGGTCTTGGTAAATTATTCATTAGTGGTGTAGGTAGGCTATGATTTTGTATTGCTTTAATGTAGCATTTCCCCTCATTCATTTTTACAATGTTTAGTCTTGTGAAACCATACATATATTTGCAGGTTACATTTTTATCGTGTGGTTATGTAGGCCCATTTAATAGCCTTTAACAGCCACATAAGAAAGAGTCAAAGCAGGAGCGCAGGAAAGCTTTCATATCAAGGAAAAAATAAAAATATCTGTGTAGTGAGCGGTTGTCGAGCTGTCTGGGCTTTCATAAAGATTTACATATTTTCTTGTAAGAGTCTAAAGAGGGGGAGGACGGGGGTGGAAAGAGAGATATAAGGAGAAAAAAAAAACGACCAAACATGTTGCCTTCCCAAGAAGCCTCCAAGATCTACCATGACAATTATATGCGCAACTCCCGAGCCATCGGGGTGCTGTGGGCCATCTTCACCATCTGCTTCGCCATCGTCAACGTGGTGGTGTTCATCCAGCCCTACTGGATCGGCGACAGCGTCAACACGCCGCAGGCCGGCTACTTCGGCCTCTTCCACTACTGCGTGGGCAGCGGGCCGTCGCCCAGCCGGGAGCTCACCTGCGTGGGCAGCTTCTCCGACTTCAGCTCCATCCCGTCCGGAGCCTTCAAGGCGGCCTCGGTGTTCGTGCTGCTGTCCATGGTGCTGATCCTCAGCTGCATCGCCTGCATGGCGCTCTTCTTCTTCTGCAACACCTCCACCGTTTACAAGACCTGCGCCTGGATGCAGCTGCTGTGCGGTAGGCACTCTTTACATTACTACAGCAGGGACTGTGTTTTGTCTTTTCAGGCATGCAGATGCAGAAAGGCCCAGGCCAAACCCACCCAAAGCTCATCTGACCCGTCTGCTTTAATTGCACAATTAGCCAGCTTGCAGGTTGCAGGCAGGAGTGTTGGTGCTATATCACCAATGAGGCTACAGTATTTTATTTGATGGAGCCTTCTGATGGTCAGTCATGCAGTGTACCCATCTTTACACCCCCTGCTTTACTGCATATTGTTTCAGCCTTGGTCTCTAGAAGGTATAATGAATAAGACCCTCATTACATTTCAAAATCCTAAAAAATGCCACAGAAAAGTGCAAAACTGCACATTTCCACATGGAGGCTACTATAGTGACATCATCAAACATCATTACGGACACCTGAGGTCAGTATGCTGAGCACCACTGGCTCACGTTCTCATAGAAATACCACATCACGTGACTTCTGGGCTGTAGGAATAAGATGAAATGTGTTTATGAGGCCGTTTCACTGTCTATTACTTGGCTTAAATCAACACGCTGTAGTCTACAGGGCACAGGCCATGTTCTGTTACAGTTAATTAGGATGTTGTGCAGTCTCCAGTCCGGCAACAGCAGGACTGAGACAGCAGGAATACATTTAGCGATTATTCACGCACTAAAAGCAATAACAGGCCCCGGAGCTCCCCTGGCTGTTCTACCATTGATATTCCGAGGATACACCGCATCTCCAAAGACAGCAGCAAGCAGCTGGGTCATAGCTTTATGCTGATGAAATGCAAATGTCATTCATTCATCCATTTCAGATCATCGTATGGATACGCTGCGGTGTGATGTGATGTGGTGTGATGTGGTGTGATGTGGTGTGCGGGCTTACATCGGGCCGTACCGCTATTTTGAGAGATGATTCCAGGTCGATTGGATTACTGTTTTGTCTCCTGCTCTTGTGGGTAGATTACAGTGCTACCTTCACGGACAACGGAATAGCTTCAGTAATGACGAAAGGAGGGTCTGTAACATTTAAACACGGTCGCTTTGGTGGTTCACTTTCGGTTTGTGCAGGTGCCAGAGCCAAGACCGTTGTGGAGGTGGTGTTGTATTAGAAATATGAGATCTTGTGAGCACTTTAATGACACCAATATGACAGTATAGGGAATGGCTTGTAACTAATAGTACTATAAATGAAATATACTGTATGTCAAATATAGGTTTCATTTCATGTCCTGTAGAGTGAAACTAACATTTATTTCATTATCAGTTATTATACAAATAATATTTTTGAATAACCAATTGATTGTTTGGGACGTAGAGAATATCATCAAATAGCAAAATCACAAGTTTTGTGTCCAACATTGGAGAAAACCACCAAATATTGACATTTGAGGAGTTTTTATCAAATCTTTTTTTTTTTTTTTTTTGCCATTTTTGCTTGAAAAATCACGTAAATGATCAATCAATCAGTTTTATTTATAAAGCCCAATAACACAAATCACAATTTGCCTCACAGGGCTTTACAGCATAAGACATCCCTCTGTCCTTTGGACCCTCACAGCGGATAAGGAAAAACTCCCCAAGAAAAACCCTTTAACGCGGGGGGAAAATGGTAGAAACCTCAGGAAGAGCAACTGAGGAGGGATCCCTCTAATGAATCAGTACTGAAAATAGTTGCAGATTGTTGACGCTCAACAAACTGATTAATCGACTAATTATTTCAGCTTCACATTCTCAACTTTTTTAACAGTTTAAAAATTATGCTTATATCGACTGATTATTCTGAATAGCTCACACAGGAGCATTATGAATCTTGGTCTCATTTATTTCTACTGATCTTCAGTGCTGGAACTCATGTTTTTTGCAACAAAATATTGTAATTCATTTGAGAAAAAAGGCTAAAATAACAGTTTAAGCAATGGTGATTAGATGCCACGAGGGCAAGTGAGTAAAATGATCGTGTCAGCAGGACTTAACCTTTGAGTAGCGAGAGCAGCACCCATCTCTCAGAAGGTGCAAAAAAGAAAAAAACAATCATGATCTCTCTTATACACACATTTCTAGTGAGCCTCCTGTGTATATCCGACTTCTTTATAAGCTGATCAATGTGATAAATAGGCCAGGCAGAATAGCGTGGGAGTCAGTTTTCTGTACAGAAACAGTCAGCATACTGAATGAGAGGAAGGGAGAAAGGAAGAGAGACAGAGAGGGAGAGGGAGAGAGAGAGAGAGAGAGAGAGAGAGAGGGAGAGATCAGCACTTTTTTCCTTCTGTATTGTTCTTTCCCTCATCCTCATCTGCCCACTCTGTCCTCTGTTCTGCCGAGTGTGTTGAAAGGGCTCGGTGCTCTACAATCAGCACGAATCAGACAGAATAGCAGAGGTACAGATTTTGCTCTCTTTATCTAAATCTTCATGACTTAACAGGAATTGAACCCAGGTCTCCTTCCACGAACCATTAATCAAGCAAGACACTGGTAAAAAAAAGAAGTGGAGGAATAATTCAGATCCGTTACTTAAAGGGACAGTTCACCCCTAATGAAAAATACATATTTCAGCTCTTATCTGTAGTGCTATTTATCAGCCTAGATTGTTTTGGTGTGAGTTGCAGAGTGTTGGAGATATCACCTGTAGAGATGTCTGACTTCTCTTCAATATAATGGAACTAGATGGCACTCAGCTTGTGGTGCTCAAAGTGCCAAAAAATACATTTGAAAAACTCAACAGCAATGTCTCTTTCTAGAAATTATGACCTGGTTACTCAAGATAATTCGCAGACCTTGTTGTGGGTAGTTTCTTGTAGGAACTATTTTCTTCGCTGAACTACACCTGTGAACTGTATCACTACACAGAAGGGCGTGTGCATCTGCTGCTAGCTCACCTAGCACCACTGAGCTGGCTAACGTTACAGCGGAAGAGGACGCCATTACTGTTTACATCTCATGCTCTCACAAGCACGAGCCTCTCATCCATGAGTAGATGCACGCTTCCTTCTGGGCAGTGATACAGTTGGCAGGTGTAGTTTGGCAGAAAGAAAATAGAAAACAGTTCCTACATGAAACTGCTCACAGCAACTCACGCCAAAACAATCTAGATTGACAAGTACTACAGGTAAGAGGAAAAATACGCCTTAGATATGGGGGTGAACTGTCCCTTTAAGTAAATGCCTCCCTGTTACAAATGAAAATCCCGAACTTCCTATCCTCCTTCAGTCAAAGTACAGAAGTATATCATCACAATGTGCTTAAAGTATCAAAAGTAATGGCATTGTTGAATTGTAAATGCTGCTACATCAGCGTGTAAGCGGCATTTGACTATTGTAGGTGGTTGATTAGCTACTTTATATGCACATAGGTTGTTTACTCCAGTGATTCTCAAATCAGGGTCAGGCCCCCTGCATGGGGGAGTAAGGAGTAAGGAAAGCCCCCAACTAGAAGAAAAGGAATTTCTTTATTAATCCCTGAGGGGATATTCAAATTTTTTCACTCCATGTTAATCCACACACGCACACACACACAGGCCGGGAATACACACCCAGTAACCATAGACATGCAGTTTGCAGCTCACGGTGAGACACTTCCCTAGCAATTATGGGTTTGGTATCTTGCGCAAGGGCACCTCAGCAGTGTCCACCAGCCCATTCCACACTTTATACTTGGTCCATGCTGGACTTGAAGCGGTGACCCAACCGTCCACATGGACCAAGCTACTGCCACCCACACACAAAAACAAAACAAACAAAAAAGAAAACAGTGAGTTGTATTTCATAACTTTATCATATGATTTTTATGTTCAAATGTATCGCTCTATAATTTGCCTACATTTATGTGTCAGCTAGTTACTTCTCAGATTCAAAAGCACAATGAAATGTAGAAGAGTGGAGGTATAAAGTATAAAGTAGAAGAAAGAAGTAGTAGTCGAGTAGTCTTGAACCTCACCAGTGCAGCACTTCCTCTCCCACTGATGAATTGGAGGAAAAAAATAAACATGATGAAAATGAGGATGAAGCATATGTGATGAGGAATGTTGCATTGATCCATGAAATTACAGTGAATGTGACAACTTCATTGAATCATGTCGGCTCCTTTCAGTTATCAATACTCTTTCATCCCCATCACCCATCATCATCTGGCTATAAAGGTTGGAGGTCCATCTCTGCACGACAGTTTATCTATGGTTCATATATAGATATAGATATAGATATAGATAATTTAAAATCACAGAAAGTCACATTTTGATTCCAGATTGTCAAGGTGTTCAACAAAATCTCTGTAAGCAAAGAAAAAAAAACATCTAGCATGGGAAACATCTAGCAACTATATAACTTATAAAACTTATAAAATCTCATTCTCAGCCTTCTTTTCTTCAAAAGTAACATTGCAGAAAAATAACAGCATGTCTTTTTAATTTGGATATTTTGGCACCCCACATATGCTCAGTCCTGAGTCTAATAAGATACACCACTTTAATTTACCAATTTACATCCACATTCCCTCTGATTTGCGAGTACATGTCAGAGTTTGTGAGACTTCACAAGGTTTTGTTGTCCTTCCAGCGGATGCGTACGATGCGTGGCGGAGGTAAGTTGTCTAATGGGCTTGGTTGGCAGACAGCCTGATGCTGCTCACCACCTTGGAGATGATCGTTTAATCATCCACTCTGCCCTGCTGGGTGTAGCAGCAGGTCTTCTGGCACTGCATAGTAACACAGTATACCACAGCAGATACAGTAAGGGCCAATTTGAACCGATGGCGACCTAGATTTGGCTTAATGGACCAAAAGTGTCAGTTAGGGAGCAGTTTGCATCCTGATCATGATGGTCTACTTGCATGCTACTGCAACAAGAAGGTGATGTCTGAACATCCACATAGGACAAGGATCTTACTGTCAGAGCTACGTGCTAGAGTTCAACCCAATCGCGGGAAAATTATGGCATTGTATGTTTCTGCAAACCATGGATACATTACATGTGGACATTGTTATGTGGTGGATGCACTGAAACTTTACAT